TTGGTGACACTTAGTAAATCTCATGCTGGTTTTGATGGATGTGTGTTACTTTATTATTGAGAGAAAAAAAAAATCTGGATGTGAAACCTGGGCTTTGCCTGCTGGCAAGATGCGTGTGAGAGCAATTAATGAATGTGTTTTGAAGTGGTTTGGTAGGTGATGTAAACTCTTCCTTGTCACTTTTCTACATGCTAAAAAAAAAAAAGAGAAAAACTTAACTTTGCAAAGGAAGCTCTAATGGGGCTGCTGATGTTGTGTTCCACGTGGGGTTGGGGGGCATAGGAGATGGTTACAAAAAGACAGAAGGAGCACGTTGTCCCAACTTCTGCACTCATGTCCTTCTGCTCAGTGGCAGCAGTTGGAGTACAGTTCATGGTTTGCTTAGGAAAAGCCTTGTGTGGACATTGTATTTATTAAAGTTGTGCCCATTATTCGCTGTACATGAATTCTGCACCTAGACAATAAAACATGGACAATTATTTAGTAACTTGCTGCAGTGTATAATAGATTTGTGCAATTCCATGACTTCCCTCTAACAGTGCATAGCTGTACCCTTTATTACATGAATTCTGCACCTAGACAATAAAACATGGACAATTATTTAGTAACTTGCTGCAGTGTATAATAGATTTGTGCAATTCCATGACTTCCCTCTAACAGTGCATAGCTGTGCCCTTTATTACATGAATTCTGCACCTAGACAATAAAAACATTGATGTTTTGCGTTGCTACTTGTGTTTTATTATGGAATGCTTCATGGATTCCCATGCTTTTGATGTTTTATTTTCTGGCATATTGTTTCGTGTTCATAATCAAGCTGTATTAGGAGGTTGATGATGCCCGCATGGGCTCCATGATTCTGAGAAACGTGCAAAGTATACATGTGAAAAGTGGTCAGATATGCAAGTGATAATATTTCAAAGTAAAAATGTTGAAATCTGACTATCTAGCCTTAAGACCCATGTCTAATGCTCATTCTTATGCAACACTGTCCTGGTGACATTAGCACCACCAGCAGAAAGCTAGCTAAATGCTTGTTAGATTCCTGTACACATTTCATAAGAGAGTATCCTTTTTCTAAGACAACCCATGCATGCAGTGGAGTCCCCTGCAAAATCAAATGCATATTATGCACTGTACATATTCCTAACTGAGCTACGTTTGATTTGGGGCAATGTAGTAAATGACTGCTAATTCTATCACCATTGCAAGCACGCTCTTTGGTACATCTGCTGATTTTAAGAATAGAACATTGCTTTAATGCTAATTGTGATAACCTATGAGTGTGAAATTAATAGGATATGCTTGACAATTAATAAGTTAGTTATAGATTTTAACAAGTTACTAATGTTATTTTTATCATGCACAATACTACAGAATGCCCCCAGACCTACAGAAGGGTGATTGTGATGTTTTAAAAAGCCTCTCCTCCTTTTTGTTTCAACTTTTCTTTATATATTGGGTTTTGTTTCATGATCCACATATGTATGACAGTATATTGCTGCACATTTACTCTCCAGTGAGCAATTATGATGTGTTGATTGTTACAATACAAGTGAGCAAAATGTTGCATCTTAATATTGCATATTTATGCATCATTTCTTACAGAGTTAGTGTATGGTCTTACTCTACTGCTTTGTGATAACTAATGGTACTAGCTAGAGATAGCTTGTCTCTGGAAAGTGAAGAGATTATAGATATAAAACCTGCAATTGCAATGCTCTGTGTTGTATTATGTAAAATAAGTTAAATGGAACCTGAATGAAAAGGTGTCTATAGCTGGTGTGTGGCTCTTGAAATGTGATCAGAGAGATTTTCTCATTTAATTTCTGACACTTAGTGAGCTTGTTACATTTTAATCTCCTCCATATCTTTGCTACATTTTAGATTTCTCCTTTGTGGCTGATGGTGTAAAGTGCTTGTGTACAGTTTTGTTCTTCTGTTAAACCTTTGGAGAGATGCTTTTCTTCTCTGTGTGTGTGTGTGTGTGCCCCTCAAATCTATGTGTATATGCCTTGCTGGTGACTGAGTGACATGTTTTAAATATCCATTCTATATTGGGCCTCTTCCAACCCTTTTAATTACTACCATGTAGAGGTAACATGCATTAACATTTGCAGGAGGTAGATTTTGGTCCTATGTACAATTGCAATTATATTTAAATTTGGTTAAAGTCAATATTTGATTGAAGGGAAATTATATTTCAAAGATTCTCATGGTTGAACTCTGGCTTTGTATTTGATATATGAAGATGAAATAGCAGCATTTTGCCTTTTTCTAGATTCATTGAAGTACTGTGACTTATGTGTTTCATGATGTGCATTGCACTGAATAACTGGAGCAATTTGCTTTATTTAAAACCTGAGGTTTTCTGAAAGTATTAAGTCTCAGTGGTTAGCAAACCAATGTAACCTATGACTTGTTTTTATAGTTAATTAGTCTGATTTTTAAGGAGAATGTTTAATTTTGATAACCCTTTAGCTATTTCTTGATGTAAGGTGTGATATCAAAGTTTAGGATGTTGTATTTGTAATACTGTCTGTTATTTCTTTTCCTAATGCACTTCCCTTTGGAGACATATTAACCTAAAGGGGTATTAGACCATTGTATAAAGTGTTTCAAACTGGCACAACTTCATGAATTTGGTTATCACAATACAGTTTCAGTTTTGACTTGGTTTTCTTGCAAAATGAAACTGATGATAAGTGTTCTACTCTTTTTATTTCTAAGTTACACTCCTGTTATTGTAACATACAGAAAAGTGTATTTGTGCAGCTTTTGTATTAAAACATTAATTTAAACAATTTACATTTATACTTGCTGTGCTTCCCCCAAGATTGCCAGAAATTAATTTCATTGTCTGAATGATCTATTTAGCATAGCTAGAAAACCATGAATAGAGTATATTTCTAGGTATGATGGAGCTTTAAAGGGTCTTTAAACAAGGTTTTAAACAGATCAAAAATGTTTGAACAAGATGAATTGAAGGTGGTTTAGGGGGGAATTATCATTTTCATCACATAGCTGACATCCTGTCCAGATATCCTATAGAAGAAAACTACCAGGTATCATTTTGTTGCCTCATTTTGGCTAAGATGGCAGCTAACACAGCACATACAAATGTCCTATTTGGACAAGTCTTAGTATTGTTACACATATTGAGGTTGGTTTTCTAAAGTATTAGAGACTGTTTATTGTATTTAATAACTAAGACAAAGCGGTGTTCGCTTCCATTACCTAATCATGTAATAAAAGAAAAAATCATTGTTTTAATTTCCCTTACACATCATTCGCAATTCAGACCGAACACATGGTCCCCTTATTTACTGACATTCACTTAGTTAGGTGAGCAGCCCCTACTTC